ATTCTGGGAGAAAGCACCCCCAGGAACGCTGGGCTACTTCAACCCTGACGAGATGGTCAAGACTGGTGGGACTGACCTTTAGGATGCTGGTTTGGTTGACAGAAATCCTTCGGTGACATTTCGGAACGCCTGCAGCTGAGGGAAAAACTACATTGTCGTAACTTTTCCTGGTTCCTGCACAACATCTACCCAGAGATGTTTGTTCCTGACCTGAAACCCACATTCTATGGAGCTGTGAGTATTGAGAACCGGCTTGCTCACCCAATACAGAACCCCCCCGCCTAGAGAACTTCAGGGCCACTTACCCCACAGAAGGATGACAAATGAGAACTAATTTTTACTCTCCACATTCCTTTATCCAGAAAGAGGACTTTGGGGCCTTTAGAGATAGCTAAAATCCTTATAAGAGGAAGACAACCCATAAGCAGTAGTTCTTGAACACTCATCACCTACATCAGAATCATCAGGAAGGAATGTTAAAATGCAGGCTGCTGATTCAGCAGCACTGGGATAGAGCCTGAAAATGTGCATTTCTGACAAGTTCCTAGGTGATGCTGATGGTCTGGGGATCGCATTTTGAGAGCCATTGCTCATAAGGAAATTCACATGTGCTGAGGGCTTCTCCCGGGGACCTGGCATTTCCCAGCCTGCCCTGGCCCGGCCTTTGGGCTCTCTCTGTACCTCACTTTGCTATTAACTCCAGGCATCTGGGTTAATAAGCAAAGAGGATGAACAGAGGAGAAAAATCACAGAGGGGAAATCCAGTCCTACAAATTTATTCCAAGTGGGCCTCATACCACAAACTAAAATACTCCTGACTGCGCCATCCCGGTTCCCTTCTCTGCTCACCATACTGCAGATAAAGAACCTCGGCATCAACCAATGCCTGGATGTGGGTGAGAAGAACCATGGAGGGAAGCCCCTCATCATGTACACCTGCCATCACCTTGGCGGCAACCAGGTATACAGCCCAACTCTACCAGGGCAGGTCCAAGAGAAGCCTGTCTCTGGGGCATCTCCTTTCTTCACAGACCTCCTTTCTCCACTCAAAATAGTCCTTTCTGTAACCTGGGTGAAGGAGATCCAGAGAAAGAAGGCGATACTATCCCTGCCCTCAGAAAGCTCCCAGTCTGAGGGGGAATGCATGACACAGACAAGGTCTGAAGTCTGAATTAGGGACATCCAGAGAGCACTGGGCATCAGAGCTGGGTGCTGGAGAGGGATGGAGGGGAGGACTGCTCATCAGAGAAGTCTTGCTGGAGGATGCCAGCTGCTAAGTGATGTTTTAGGGTAAGGTGAGAAATTTCTGAGTACTTTCCTTCACCTGCATACTTCTATCTTCAATGCCTCCCCTACCCAGAAAATACCATTCTGATCCTACCACCCCAAAATGATCCCAAAACAACCACCGACTGACATCTCACAGTTACCTGGCATCCTGAGAATTTACTCCATGCTCTTCCTTGAGGAGTAACTAGTAACCTCCCTGACTCCAGCCCCTCAATCTACCCTGAATGCCCAGCGTTTGGTAAGGAAGAAGCACTTGAACTGTAACCGAAGCAAGAAAAGGAGTGGCTTGGGACACTGAACAGGCTGCCAATATATACATATGAAGACAAAGTCACTCTAAAGCAATTCCCTATACCACTAGCCTGCACAATGATTTTATGTGGTACATTAGTGAACATTTTTTATTTTAATGGTAGTCTATTAGCAAAAAAAGAACTAGCATGTCAAACACATGACTTCACAGATAATGCTTAAAATTAAGCTAAGTTAAAATTTTAATTAAGGAAAAAAATATTAAGTAACTATTATTCCAATATAATCCAGATATGGTTTAAAAAAAAATATCCTAAAGGTGACACATGAAGTCTTGGCACCCACTCAGTTTCCTCCCCAGAAGGCTATCTGTGGTTGGCATCTTAGGGCAAATGGCTTTGGAAAGTGGTGGGCAAACTCTCTGCCTGTCCCTCAGAACTTCCTCTTGTCTTGACTTCTAGTACTTTGAGTACACAACCCAGAGAGACCTTCGCCACAATATCGCAAAGCAGCTGTGTCTGCATGCCAGCGCTGGCACTCTGGGCCTTAGGAGCTGTCATTTCAATGGCAAAAATAGCCAAGTCCCCAAGGACGAAGAATGGGAATTGACCCAGGTGAGTAAACTGCCCAGAAAGCTCAGTGTCAAGAACCTGAGGCCACCCTGACCCCTCCTTATTTTCTGCATCTTATGCCTGAGGTACCATTGGGTGGATCAGGACAATGTAGAAAGTATGAAGAATGGGCTTCGTCAGAAGCAGGGTTCCAGGAGCTTAGGTAATATTTGGTGATGGCTGGTTTGGGCCAACATAAAGATGGGGTCGGGGGTTATGGTCCGTGGCCAGCTCTGTCATAGTCAAGTATTTTTAGTCTGAACCTAAATAGATGAAAGTGAAGGGGCACTCATGATTCCTGCCTGCCCTCTGTGTGCCAGGCGCAAAGCCATGCATTCACATACGTTGGTGGCCTCCTCCGGCTTCTTGTCTTCACGGATGTGAATGAACTGAGGGAAGCACAGGCACACAACGTATCTTTCAGAGGCTCTTCCCAAGCAAGTGGTGTCCCCATTTCTACAGATGAGCTAACCGAAGCTCAGCAAGTTTGTGACTGGCTCGAGACCTATCACTAGTAAATGGCAGACCTGGGATTCAGACCTAGATAAGTCTGACTTGAATTTGAACACATAGGTTCTCTCCATTATACCACATTGCCTCAGGATTTATAATGTAACTTCTACAGTACTGGGCCCTAAATAGCACCTCTAATGAGTCTCTACACCCTACTCTACCCCAAACCCCAGTCCCTGGCTTAGGAAAAGAGTAGCCTAATCTTAGGGCTACAGGGAAGAGAGAAGTCTAACTAAATATGATACTAGTCAGAAAGTGGGGGTGAGCAGCAGTGGCCCAGGTCTTTAAGAATGGCCATCTGAAGGAGAGGGCCCTGAATGCATTTTTTCAGTTATCCCATAGTTCTTTCTCTATTCCAGCAATCCAGGCTAAAGCTGGGAGTGGGAAATTGGTATCAGAGTGTCTAGTATCCAAGGAAAGGAATTTGGAAATGTCCTCTATGTACCTTGTTGGATTTCCTTTGCTTTATTCTATTGTCCTCTATTTTATTGCCCCTCAGACTGTTAGAGGTCTGAGGCCCAGGTTGACCCTTTGCTGTGTCATCTTTTAGGACCAGCTTATCAGGAACTCAGGATCTGGTACCTGCCTGACATCTGAAGACCAAAAGCCAGCCATGGCCTCCTGTAATCCCCGTGACCCCCACCAGCACTGGATCTTCATCTAGGCCCCAGATCATCCCCCGTGGGAGTTCCCACAAGCCTCTCAGGAAACAGCATTTTTGGGAACCTGAGCATCAGCTTCTCTGTAAGCCTTCAAAATGGATTTCTAAAACCAATTTTGGATGTCAAGGCAGAACCTTCCTACTCCTTGCAACAACATTGGGCTCATTTTCTTTCCTCCACATTTATGGAAGAGACTTTAAGAACACATATTTGGCCTAGAGCTTTCCTTCTGTCCTAGAAACAGAGACTTCTAAAGCAGAGAAGACATCTGGGATATGGCCCAGGGCAGTGATGGTGAATTCAAGAAAAGTATCTCTGCAGTCACATCCTGAATCCCTGGTCAACTAGAGCACTCACAGAAGCTAGTGAAATAGTATATTCACTTGCTAATAGTATCCCAAGTTTGTAGAGCCGTTTTCAGTTTACAGAAAGCACCCTGACAGGAATCCTTTATCTTACTTCATCTGCACAATAATGCTGTGAGAAACACAAGACAGGAACCACCACAGCTAGTGGATGGCTGGAGCTGAGACTGAGACTTGATCTTGAACATGGAGCCAGGGTGCCTTCCACCACACTACAAGAACACTAGATGAGTGGCCATTGGCCTTCCCTCCATTTCTCTCTTCCCTCCATTCTAATCATTTCTGGCTGGCTGATCTCCATAAAGCCTAGAACCATGGAGCCAGGTAGCCATGAGGGAGACTACATTTGGAAATCCTGGGGTATTCGCGTTGAAAGCTCATGGAGCCAGTGATTCTCAGGTTTAAGTCCCAGAACCCTTTTGTCAGTGCTCCGTATATAATGTAAATAAAAGGCAAAGTAGCCATGGGTGAAACTGAGTGTGGCTGAGGGCAATGCCTTCCAACCCCTGAACTTCTAAAGTTCTGTAAGCTTAATTTGAAAACTATCCTTTTAGTCCAACCTTATCATTTTCACACTATGAAACCAAGGGCAAATAAAGTAAATTTGCCCAGGGCCACACAACAAAGTATTGGGAGCCCTGTGGCTAGGAGCCAGATAAAGCAAACAAACCTAGGAAGTCTGAGGAAGCAGGGACAGTGTCTAGCAAAGCATGACTGTGTGACTGGCCTTGTCTGCTGTATTCGCATGAAGTCTCCACATGGAGCAGACCTGACATGCACATCAGCACTTTTCTAAGCATGTTGGTCCCCACACACATGGCTGCTTTGCCTGAATTAGAGAGTCCAGCTGCCTAGAGGAGGATTCACGTTCCTTCCAGGACTTCTGACTTTCATTAGCAGGCTGTCATCTTGGACATCACCACATGAGAGTGCCATGGGACTACAGCTGCCTCTCCTTCCCAGCAACTCTACTGCTGGAGGTCTCCCAGGTCCCTGAGAACCTTCAGGACCCTGTAGAAGAGACATTCTGGGGTAGCCCAGCGAAAGGGAGAAGAGAGAGAAGCCAAGATGTG